TCGGTGAGATAAGACTTTAGAATGGATATCAAGGATATAGTTTTGGGTAGGTTGAGATCATGATATTTGAGCTTTTGTATGCTCTTGCAAGTCATGTCAATGTAATAAAGCTTTCAATGCAACGTCTCTTAAATTATTTTTACTAATTTTATTATTTACGATACGTTTATAATAGATGACTATGGATCTTATCAGGTGTTTATTGTAAATACTTCATAATTATATCACAATTGTCATTTTTGTAGATTGACTCTTGAAACAATTTCATTTAGCTGTTATATAGTTGAATATTAATATCCCATCATTTACACAAATTTTCTTTGATATTATCTTTTCTCACTATATATTATTTTGTATCATTGTTTCAGATTGGAATCCACACTTCACAAGAAGTTTTTGGCAAGCCTTGCTCAAACTATTAGGTACACGATTTGCCATATCTACAGTCTTTCATCTCTAAATAGATGGATAAACAAAGCGTGTAAATCAAACCTTAGAAGATATGTTGTACATATTTGTGGTGGTTCATCATAATGATTGGGTTGAATACTTGACATCTTTGGAATTTGCTTATAATGATAGTATTCAAGAAAGTACCAATTAATCACCATTTTTTTTTAACATTGCTCAATATTTGATTATACCAATAACTTTTTATTGTCCCATCAATACCAATAATTCAACAACAAAGGAATTTATACAACTTACAATGGCCTTACAAGAAATACAATACTACATTTTTATTGCATAGAATTGACAAAAGCAGTGTAAAGTTAACTACTGGCAACATAAGATCTTTTGGGAAGGTGATCACATGTTATTCTCCAACGCCAACTTACCACTTGCTAAATCACCCTAAATTTATAAACTAATACCTTGGTAGCTCAAACCTTTTCACATTTTTGCAATGATTTCTAATGTCGCATACATCCTTGAGCTTCTGCCACATATTTGGGTCCATCTAGTCTTCCATGTTTTGTAATTGAAGGAATTTTATATTGAGCCAAAGTGCTTTCTAGATCGACATCAATCACTACCACTACCAATTATAGTTGATGACCAATAAAAATATGAAGTGGACAACATTTTGGAACATCACTACTTTTGTCATGGCACTGGACGTCTACAACTTCAGTACAAAGTTCTTTAGAAAGGTTATTCTATCCATGATGCAATATAAGAACTTGCACAAAATTTCACCTATTGTGAAGAAACAATTTGGAAATACCATTGGAAGTGAAATGATGACGTTTCGCATTAGAAAAGGAGAATTAATTATAATAGGGTATAGATAAGATATTTGTATTATTGACGCATAGAGATAGATAGTTAGAACCATGTTTGAGAACTTATGGAAGTTTCTAGAATTCGGATTAAGTTAGTGGTTCATATAGGATCCATTGTAGAACATTCTAGAAAGAATTTAGGATAGTCATTTAGGTGGGATCCACCATAGAACCTTCTAAAAAGAATTTAAGGTAGTTATTTAAGTGGGATCCATCATCTAAAAACATTCTAAAAAATCCAAGGTAATAGAACAAAGTATAAATAAGATTGGTCATGGCCTTTAGGAGCATTTAAGCAAGTATGGCTTTAGATCTTTTTTTTAATATAATTAGATTTTCTATCTTCCTATTTTATTATATTTTATTCTAATTTTAATTATTCAATTTTATCTTCTATGTTCCAATCTGTTTAATTCTATTCAATTTTATTTTGGTCCAGTTCGTCCTACCTTGTAATAAGGTTTTATGTTGTGGATTAGAAGGATCTTGGTCACTTGAGATAGACCGGTCCTGTTTCATTGAGGCTTTTAAATTTGATAAGAAAAAAGCTTTGTGATTTTTAGATCCTGAACAAACATCTATTATAAAACAAGAAGAAGATTGTGAAGAAAGAATATGACATTTACTAGATGTTCTATAAGATTTCAATAACATGATTCTTTTTGTAGCAAGACAAACTTATTGTTTAAGATATTGTCTTCTTTGATAATTATGTTTCTTATTTTGTAGTTGAATTTCTTCATTAGATAATATTATGCAATGCACTTAGGTTCTTTACAATATAAGTATAATTCTTCTTCACAACATTATTATTATTTTTAAATAAAAGGTTTAAAATGTATTGTATTAATTTTCATGTCTTTTACTTCTAGATGTATATATTGAAAAGGTGTAGGTATTGCTATTAAATTATATAAATATTAAGATCTACTTATATAGTTTTTAAATCATTATTAAAAAAGCTGATTGTAACACTTCATTGTGAAATCAATTTTGTGACTTAATGTCTAAGGATTAGATAAGTTTAGCATCAATTTCTTTTCTTAATATTATAATCAATAAAATAATTAGCTAATGAGTGCAATATCATCTTCTTTAATTTATATTATAATTTATAAAATAATTAGTTGATGAATACAATATTATCTATATTGATATCAATTATAAGTTGTTGGAATTGTAAAGCATATAATATTACAAAATAATTACTTTGATGCAAAATGAAAATCTTATTAGTTACAATACAAATTATATCATATTCTCCATATATAGATTAAAATTTTATCAAAATTACCTCAAAATTATTTAATATTAGATCATATTATTTAAATATAAATATAAATATATATATATATATATATATATATATATATATATTTGTTTATTTATTTATATTTATATAATAAAACCAAATCTAAAAGGAGTGTTTTAATAAACTTAACTTATCATATTAAAGTTGGATAACTTTGAAATTGAAGCACAAGTATTAATTGTACTTGATTGATGAATTTTCAAAACTTTAATCTTGTACCATCAAATTTCTCAAGCATAACAATTTTTTGTTCTTTTATACTTGAATAATGTTCTATTATAAGAGATTATACTTTAACATCTTTATATCTTACTTTTAGCAAATTTTATTACTCCTTATGGTAATAAATTGAATTGATGAATTATAAGCATTAATTACTATATTTTTTCTTGCATTTGTGTAATTGCACTCTTTATTTCAATAGGCTCTAGTATAACTTTAGAGAAGTACAAGATAGGATTCAAAAACAAAGAAAAGTCTAAGAACAATACTAGTTTAGAAGTAGTTAATCTACAACTACTAATATGTTTGTTTGTAATCAAGAAAAAGAAGTAATCTATTTTCAATTAATAAAAGATAAAGTGAACAGCTAGATTCTTTCATCTTAAGAATTATAGAATATTCCTTATGTAAATCATCTACCTAAATATTCAACCTACCAATCACTTATAGACATGTATAAACTAAAATTTGCATCTATAAAGCTTTTAAGAAACGTTTTTATAATATATTATATAATTTAAATATTTTTACTTCTTTATATCTATTTTTCTCTTATTTAGATAATTCTTAATGTAAATATGTATGTCCATGATACCAAACAAAAATTCAACCATCAATACTTTTTTTTTAAAAAGAATTTATAAATTTATAATAATCAATATCATTATTAGATCTTTGTGTGTGATAATTAAAATAATTGAAATCTAATAAATCTTTGTTTTTAAATATCTATATATTAAAAATAAGATTAAAAATATTTTCTTTAGCCAAAAAATTCTATTACAAGATTTATTTTTGTAGACTATAATTTTCTACAATTCACATGCTAATATTTTTAGAATGGATTTTACAGCTCAAATCTTTTTGAAGTATTGCCAATATTCTACAATTCTTAGGTTATAAAATATTATAATATTTATTAAAAGAATAATTTTTTTACTTAATGAAACTCATTAAATTTATATTTAAGATTACTAAAAAATTAAATTATAAGTAATATGTCATAATGTATCTAAAATGAAGATTATAATAAAAATAATAAAGTTGTAGGATTATCAAGTACTTTTATTTTTTATATAACTTAATTTAATAAGTTTAAGAAATATATATATTTTTATAAATAATTATAAAAAAATAAAAATAAAGAAATAAAGAAATAACTTGGCTATTAAAGAATAAAATACTTATAACATTAGATAAAGAAGAAATAAAAATTTATAAGATTATTAATAATCAAGAATACTAACTTCAAAGTTTGACTAAAATTATTAAACTTGGGGTTTCAAAAAATTCAAAAAATAGTCCAAAAAAATATTTTTGGCTTTTGTTTATAAGTTTTTATATATGAATCTATAAATGTATTTATATTTTTTATTTTTTTATTAACTTCAATTCAAGGAAAGTATATATTTATTAATCTAATCAAAGATTTATTAAGTTTTAAAAATAAAGAAGCAAGAAAATTCTTTTGGAATAGATTTTTGACAAAAAATAATTTGTGAAATATTTTTTTTAATTAAAAAATTAAAATTAAGATTAAAAGTAAATTCTTTCAATCACCTTGAGATATTCTAGTGTTTCAAGAAATAACATTTCAATAATATATATATATATATATATATATATTATTTGTAAAAGAAGACAAAATAAGAAACATTTCTCAAGGTTTTTCTTTTCTTCCATGCTGACATAAAGCTTAGAAGCACCTCAATAGAAATAATCAATGTAGTTATCTCAGTTTTGCTTATGTCCTCCATCTACAATGGTCTCCTTCAAAGAGCGAGGCCACTTTTTTCTGTTTGTCTCGACGACCGTCGTGCGTCGTCAACGAAACCCTAACTTCGTACATCCAATAGACGGAGTGAAGTCTCTCAAGGAGGCATGAGTGGCTGCTGCCGTTGGACGCAGGATCTTGCGGCTCTGCGTTCGTCTCTTGGGCCTCGGTGACCTATTTGTACTCCATCGAGCCCCGAAACTCTCATTGATTTCCTTACAGCCGTGTTCTTGTCTTTCCTGCGTCGTTAAGGTCGCCGCTTGTGTTCTAGCATTTGATTTGCGTCGTGAGGTTGTGATGTTCGATTTCGCAAGCAGTGCACCGCATTGTTATGCCCTCAATCTCTGGCGTGTGCGTGCATTTCGACGCAACCAGTGATGGTTTGTAGTTTGACTCCCCCCAGTGGTGCCGTGATGATTATGCATATTTTTTCTGACACCTCTTGTATGAGAGCATTCACAGTGCCCGTTGAACGGAAATGCGTCTTTCTGAGCACCTTTTGACCTAATCGTGTGTTCCTCGGTATCAGTACCCTAATAGATCGTCATGTCATCTGAGAGTGTGTTCCCTGAGGCGGACTTCTCGTGTGCTTTGTGCATAAAAGTCGCATAGAAAACCTCACTGTGCCTTTCTCAGCATAGTGCAGATCTTTCTCAGATCGTGGGATGCGCGGTGTTTTTCGTAGTGCTGTGTCATGCACCTCTGCGCGAAAATCCAAATGAAACTTATTTGCAACCTATACGGATCCTTTACTGCTTCGTATAGTATACTCCTTTTGGGAAATAAAATCCAACTCACTCACCTGCGCTGAATACTGATGTAAGCGGGCCTTATGATTTTGGATACATCTCACTGTCTACAGAGAGCGTCACTGTCCGGTCTCTTTCTGCACTTCTTACGTTTATGTCTCACGTCCTTAATTTCTGATGACACGTGAGGTCAATAGAAAAGATTCTGAACGTTATTTTCTCGCCAGGGCGTTCCATCCTTGATGTATTTATCACAATCGACATCTTATTCCCTCAGTCATCCTATCATAAAGCTGTAGTAACAAAAAATAATTAACCCTTAAATTGCATCCAGTAAAATAACCAGTAACCACTACCAATCCTCCTTTCTCAAATAAACAAAACAATTACTGCAAAAAAATTTACATCGTCCATTGACTTAATTTCAACCAATGAAACAAATATCCATTCAAAACTACAACCTTGGGGTATATTCTACTATCTACACAGTACATGTGCTCGCAATCACTGTAAACCAATCTCTCTGCTCAACATCGGTTTACAATGCTTCGGTGCATGTCCACACACGTTACGCCTGACTAAAGCAAAGCCTCCATTGTTAGGTATGGAAAGCTGTCAATCTCACAACACCGACAGAAACCAATCTGAAGGGAATATGCTAGACAGCGCTAATGGCCACCCCTCAATAGTGCTTTACAAAGCGTTGATTAACGTAACACAATAGCAACCATTCAACCTAAAGCTGGCAAAGGGAGCCAGCCTTTGTGTTCCACCAGGAGCACAATGAGAGCGATGACCAGTGCCACAGTGCTTACAAGTGTAGCAATTGCACAAGCTGCGAGGCCCGGTCTCTCTCTGGGGTCGTTATGATGTTGGGTCAGTAGAAATCGAATTGTGCCATAATACCAGAACAAGGGGAGTAAGAATCCCGCAAGGAACGAGAACCACCCGACTCCACAACCACAGCAAGGAAGACGTCTGTCATAGATGCCAATGTAAGGATGTAGATCTGAATCAGAGGCATATTCTTCAGAGTTCAGCAACACTTCGTAAGGGCCCCGAGGATTCTTCTCCCTTTTCTCCATATCAATGCCCAGTGTTTGAAACCCTCCACAGAGTCAAAATACACCACCTTGCATTGAATCTGCTTCAAGCCGACTGCGACCTCTTCTATCAACCACCTCCGATCCTGGCCTAAAATTAAAAAGACAAGACTTGCTCAGAAAAGACACAAAAATCTATCAAATATGCAATGATAAGACTGATAAGGGACATCAGAGCAGTGTAGTAGAGATCTCCATCAAATTCACATGCTCCGAACCAAAACAAAGCATGAGCTTAAGAATTGAAACAAATGAACAATTTCGATGCGGCTTAGAGCCGATACTATCACAAACCGTTTGGTACGTCCCATGATTTCCCCACCTCTACACAAACTTTCGTAGTAGCTAGGTCACGTCATCCTGTTTGTATTATACGGCTGCTTCGCGCTAAAATACGCAACCCTATCACAAAGCCCGACTTCACCATTGATCTCCTACAGAAGCCCTCAATAGAGACTCTCTACATACACTTAAAGAACAAAAGAGAACCTGCCCAAACATCCCCAAAGCAGTAAGGTCATAAAATTGCGCGCCAATTAGTCGAATTTTGAAAATTACTTCGTGTCACAGCGAAGGAAAATCACGACAAATACTGTAAGACTCTCAATTCCACAATATGCATGAAACATCCACGAATTGTTCCAGAAAGAATCGCAGCAAATCGCGATGAGGGAAATAACCAAAGTGACCACTACGACCTAAATGCGTCCTAACTCAAGTGGCATCCCCGATTGCGGCAAGACGAAATGGAAACAAATCGTCCTAATTCTACAAACTTCCACGCACCTTTGCATTACATCCACCAACTTCTTGCTATTCCCGATCCACGAACGCATCCATTCACATAAGGTAGCTGCAGCTTCTCACCCTTCAAGAACGCCGCCAACATTCTCCTAATTCACAAATCAAATACAAACCCATTAACCTTCACACCATCCGCCATACACACCAACACAAACACACCCACCCACCTACTAACCCAGAAAAAAAAACCGCGACATAGAATCCTTACAAATCATGCACCAAGCGCAATTGACAAAAACTCAACCCTGGAGCTGCACATTCGAGCACTGACAAAATCGTGGACTAAGCGAAGCACGTCAATGTCGTGGTGGCAACCACCTCGAAGGCGAGCGGATAGCTCCCAAACATCCACCTTCGAATACCGGATCATTGTGAGGTGTCAGAGAATGTGCGTAGTCAGCCGGTCTTGACGGTCCACATGGGTTGTCAGGATTTTCCTTAAGCTTCCCCGTCCTTTTGGCTTCCATCGATTTTCCATCCTGGCATTTGGTTAATCGCCGGGGTAATCAGCGAGCACGCAAGGGAGCGAGTGGATGAGCGTGGACACACTGACTGGCGAGCGGATGTCAGCGACACACTCGCTGTAGAATTCTAGGGTTAGGGTTTGACGGTGATGACATGGCACCCATCTTTTCAACGATAATAAAGTGGGTAAAAAGAAGCGTTAGAGAATTGGGTTTGGTTCTTACTGTGTACACTCCTTCATTTGAAAAAGAGGGTTCTGTTCAGGAGTGTAAAGGAGCATAGTACGTTGGCTTTCTTTGCTGGTTTTGAAGGTTTCCAGACATGCAAGTGTCATACTTCCATGGCCATCTTTAGGGTTTTGGAAATGAGCAGGGATTTGTGGACTTTGAGCTGCTATGTTTGCAGCACACGAGGAAATTGTGAGTTGATCTAATGTTTCTGTTTTGATTGTGTTGACATGAAATTTTCTTGTTGGGTATGGAACTTTTGTAGGTGCAGTTTAGTTTTAAAAATTTGTGGTTAATTTTATATTTTTGTTATTTATTATTTTTCAAAATTATTTTTACTGTTTGAGCATGGCAAAGGTTTGAACAGATGAAACTTAATAGATTGAATTTGCTTCTTCTTTTAAAAAATAATTACAAAAAGAAATAAAAGAAATAAAAGAAATAAAAGAAATAAGAAATATGCAACGGTATTGTTCACTTGAGGATATTATTATTATTATACATACATTACCACTATTTGAAATTAATAAAAGAAAAAAGGTTAGGAAAAAATAGATTTAAAAAAAAACATTCAAAATATTTATAAAACATTTTTTATTAATTTGATGAAAAATGATGTCAATGTTTCGATAGTTTTGTCAAAATTTAAATTTTAAAAAGATAAAATTTTAATCATAATACATATAAATACATGTGCACATAAACATATGCATCTATTATAAAAGACAACATAGGTATAAGATAAAGGGACAAAAATGCAATCTGATTGGCTATTCAGAGGGAACTCTGAGATCTTTGGGAACGCGAACTTTGTTGGAATTTTGAAAACCACTTCTATGCCAACATCTCCTCCTTCGTCCCCGCACACTCGAGGAATTCCAACTTAAAGTTTTTGATCTGTTTTAGATCTGTTTTTGGAGTGGAATGTGTGTTTGTTTTGTGTTGTAGTTGGGCTTTGCAGACGACAATTGGCACTGAACAAAGCACGTCGAGACAGACAACATGCTGAACAGCGAATGGCCGAAGCCCTGAAGAGAATGGAGGAGGCTGAACGGCACTGGAAAATTGCAGAGAAGAGAGAAAAGTTTGCATCTGAAGCTGCGGACATGGCTCGGAATGATTCTTCAGCAACAGAGAAGGAAAAATTGGAGTCTCAACGACTGGCTGTTGAGAGATTAGCAGCTATCGAACGTTTAGAACCGCGGTGTGAATCTCTCGAACGTGAAAGAGACGACCTGACTCAGGTATTGTCTCCTGCACCAACATATCATAAGATTTGTAGCCGCTAGAGTTTCTATGACCGATCGCCTGTTTCTGCCGTATTTCTATCAATTTTGGCTCCCTTTCAATTCCAAGCTCAGCGGAGTATCACGCTGCCTCCAACAAAACTCTCACGCAATCTAAGTTTATATTTTTGCAACTGGATAAAGTTTTATGGAAGAATTGACGTACTATGCACACAATAAAGATATCCAGATGGGTGGCCCTCAGCTACCGCTCATGCCTTAATCTTTGCCTGCTCATTCATGTATTTTCTGCAAGACAGCAGCGGATGTTGCACTTTTTTCCACATTCTTTACCTTGGTTCCATGCTTGCCATCACCTGCAAGCATATTGCAGATCTCGCTGAAAACACGAGGGTGGACATACGAGTAATACCAACAAAAAAACGGATGTTTCATTTCACCAGCAGTTGCAAGTTGAAAATGAACGGGTGCTATTGAAAGATGTGTTGCGAAGATGTCGGTGTTGCCAGTAAATCTTCGCGGGATGGTAGAATTTTTCAGTGCAGTGGACTACGATGATGAAAATTCATTGAGCTTGGAGGTTTCATAAATTACAAATGAGGAAAAATAAAATAATTTTTTTAGAAAAGGTACAGCATTTGGTGTTCGTTAGTTTCTTATCCATTCTTTTAGATAAAAATTTATCGGACAGAGAACATTTTTCACAAACATTTGATAATTGTGTTCTCTATTTAAATAGAATTTTTATTTTCCAGATTCTGTGCATTACACTACATTTAGCAGATTCTACTGTTGTTAAAATGTTTATCATCATTTAATTTTTCATATCAAATCACTGAGTGTTGCAAATTATCAATATACATTATTTGTTTAAGTGCATGCATATTTTAACTATTTTTGCAAGTTATCAATAGATACAAAATAAATAATTTCAAAAATAAATAAATATCCAGTCATAATTTTATAACTACAACTTCTGAAGATATAATAGTTTTTTTTTTTTTTTTTTTTCATGTTTTTTGTTTTGTTTTGTTTTGTTTTGTTTTTATTCTTATGGTTACCTATTTCATGTAAATCTCAAATCAAAATACAAGTATTCAATGTAATTTAGATGTATCAGATTGATGTATCTTATAATTATAATCATAATTATTAAATAAATTTATAAAAGTGTATCTTCTATTAATAAAATTCAGACATTCAGATTTTTCTAAATTAAAATTTTATAATTAAATAAAATAAAATGATTGAAAGAAAATTTCAAAAATATGCATCCATACATTTATATTTCAATTTATAATATTAATGTATAGATGAGTGCATGCTCATAACCACAAACTCATTTGTGCATATTTTTAAAGTTATTAAAACTGAAGAAGATATAAAATTATGATTTTATGTGTATAGATATACATATACACAATAATTTTTAGTTTTGTATTACAATTACATGATTAACAAGGATAAAAAAAATTGACCAGTATATTTATGTGTTGAATTGTACAAACAGTCAATTTACAAATAGTATTTTGAATTTAAATAAATAATTAAGAAGTTCATATTTTTAATTTGGTTTTTTTATGAGTAATTTGCAATTTAATATTATTAATTGCAAAACAGAACTTCAAGAGTAATATTTTTAATTAAAATGAAATATGATATTTTAATCATCAAATTCACAATAGGCTTTTCGAAGAGTAACAACATGTAAAATAGTTATATACAGTATTAATTACTAGAATTATTTTAATATCCCATAAATTAAATACAATTTTTAATATGTATACATATTTTTCTTAAACAAAAACTTGAGATATTTTATATTATTAAAGAATACATATACACATGATTTGGATTTTTGATAAAAAGTTTCAGTAGGCATGTAAATTATTAATAATGGATTGAAATCAAGTAGCAAAGACATTGGAGATATAACTTGATTTTGTTGAATATAAAATTCAATTTAACTGGTTAAATCAAAGTTTTTTATTCTAAAATCTTGAAATATTTGGTTACAATTAAGCATTTTTATCAAACACAAGAGTAAACATATAAGGAGAAGCTAAACTTTCATGAGCGGTATCAAATGCCTGTGCAGAGTCTATTTTGCTTGGGTCAAATTATTTTCTGCAACTATCAATTTTTGTAATTGTGCTTCACAAATTTGCAAGAACAATGACTAAATATGTGTATGTGTGTGTTGAACATAGTTATTCATTAAAAATAGGATTAATGTTCTATGTGATTATCACAGCGTGTGTTTTACAGTGATTGGGGTTTTTCTTTTCTTTTCTTTTCTTTACTATTATTATTACTTCATACTATGTTTTTGAAGTGTAGAGCATACTGAAATGGTAGATTATAAAATATTGAGCATACACAACGAGTGTCTTTTGATCTCACTGTTTAATATGAATTGGTTTAGTTCCATGTGAAGGAGGTTCATAAATTGTGTCAAAGTTTTGGAGGTTTACTGTTGGTGATTTTTGCACGTTTTTTTTTGTCTAATAAATTCGATAATCCATTGAAAATAAAGCAATCATAAATTTTTTCAAAGTTAGTTTTTTTCCATTTCCATTTGAGCACTTTGCTGCATCTTAATTATGAATTCTTATTGAAATGCAAATCTTGAATATATTCTCATTATTCATTTGTTTATTTTTGTTCGTTGTAGTTGCTTTTACACATGTGTGCCTATATTTACATACAGATGTATGCAAACATTTACATACATACATAAGAATAAATTGTGTAGTTGTGTACAAAGAAACCACTGAAATTAATATATAACGTATTGAAAATAGATTGTTGATTTCGAACAACTTGAGTATCTAATGTATCTTACACATAAAATAAAACTAATATTTTATTCTAAGAATTTAGAATTAAAATATTCGAAACAAATAATGAAATTGCAGAGTTTTTTCAAAATACTCGATAATTGAGATGTTCTTTAAAAATAAAAACATAAAAATTAATGGAATCAAAATCAAATACTCTATTGTACAAATAATGCATTAATAAATGTGATTTGAATTACCAATCTTAAAGTTGGTTCTATTTAGAGATGTACGTCCAGTTTTTTAAAAATAATTTGCACATTTATTCATATTGGATAAAGCATTAATGTACATATATATGGTATTTTTTATTTCTTTTTATTTTTGGTATATATATCCACATATATGATTTATTTATTTTTTGTTTTTTTGGTACAGCACCAACTCACATGTTGAAATCTTTTTATAGAGCACTAGATGTGTTAAGAAAGATAGTTCTTGTAGACTCCCTTGATTCCTCTTAAAAACGTTCTTTAGAAGTGGTCAATTTTTGAATTAGCAACGGCAAATTCAACTTTAACATCTTTTTCTGTGGCCAACGGCATGGATTTCCACTAGATTTCAAAGAGCTCAATTTCAAAGTTTTGTAGAATGGATGGTTTGGCAGAACCTTGAAGTGAAGACACTGAATGATGAGAGGAAAGCAACGGTAGCTGCACAAAGTGCAGCAGAGGCCACAATGCAAAGAGTTCAGGCATCTCAGAAGAGCAACAAGGTGTCGTTGCTAGAGGTGATCCTGGCTCCGGTACAGGCAGAGGTGACGGTGGTGCATCAAGAGGTAGGTGTGAGTGGGTGTGGTGATATGTCGGGGAAGGGTTGTGTTGAGGAAGGCGCAAATGGGTTGTGGAGAGAGATGGAGAAAATTGATTTGTGAAGCGATGAGAGATGCAGAGATGTGTGTGGTGGCAGATATCAAAGCTGCATGACACAAACAGAGCTCCCGAGGCATTCATGAGGTCGAAAGACGCAACATTGGTGGAGGTGGAGAGGAGGATCAGAAGTGCAGATGCAAAGGCTGCGATGGTGGAAGAGATAGCATGTTTTTTATTTGGACTTGTGTTGCATTTTTCTTTGCTAAAAAATGGAACTTCCATCTTACAGGATTACGTCGCTACTGTAATCAAATATGAAATAGATGCATTTTTAAGATTTTTAATTTTTAATTAGAAACTATATAGTGTCATTAAGAATACCTTATAAGTTAAATTAAGTATTTATGTAGGGAGAGACAATCACATATATATGCATGTGACAATTGATTTATGATATAGTTGTTAAAACCACACAAATTTACAGAATCTATATGTCAATTCTTATGTATTCACAATTTTTTCAGTTATAGAATTCATAATGAATTCATTCATGAAACTTTTGAAGTTATTTTTTGTTTTTTTATTTTTTGAATTCGTTGTGGTTTTCAAATACACATCTGATTTTTTGATGTCATAAAACTAAATTGATTGCAATGTTCTTTGTGTTATTTAAAAATGCTTAATCCTTGAGTTTACAGAGATCTATCCAGATACTTAGATGTATTTCTAGAAAACTAGATAAGATATAATAGAAAACATAATGTTGATATATCACAATTTAGATTTTTTGAATCTAAAGTAGGTTGTAGTAAGGTAGGATTATCTACTAATGAATATAAAGTAAAAAAACTTAAATATTTTGTTGTGGCTTCAAATAATTTATAAGTAATAATAAAAGAAATACACAATCATTAACTTGGTGCCTTTTTATTGTAAAATCTTGAAGACTTCCTAAACAAGTTGAAAATACTATATAGTCTATTGTTACTAAAATAGAGGAAGTAAAAAAATAAGAAATAGATATAAGAAAGAAAGAAACTAAAATGATTATTGTGAATTACAAAGAACCTTGAGAATCTTAAATCAAGAGTAGAACAAGAAAGTTGTTAACGAGACTAAGGATGGCCTTAGTCTTGCCTTCATATATACTAGCTACCAAAAATGTTTTTATAGAAGCTTTCTAAGGACCACAAGGCTTGTGGCCTAAGTGTCAAGTTATAAATTGCTACTATTTTAATTCTCTAAAAATATGAAACTTGAAGAAAGACTTTCAATAGTCACAAGGTGTATCTTTAGGAGTCAAATCATATAAGATATGTCTAGGAAACTCCCTCAAAGTTAATATAAAAATATATTATCTACATCTATAGATTCTATCTGCTTCTATTTATTGCATTATTCAAGCAAATGTAGTAAACTATTATAGTATTTTAAAAAAAAAATAATTGTATAATGCAAAGTTTAAATTTTAGAATCTGAAAACAATTAAATATCTAAAAGATAAGAGCAATTTTTTTTATTTAGTTGAAAAAAATATTTTTTAAATGTTTTTTTATTAATTTCATTCTTCAACATATATGGCTTATATATATATATATATATATATATAAATATATGTGTGTGTGTATACATATATATATATATATATATGTATATACATACACACATATCTTGATTAAAATTTTAAATTAATTAATAAAGTTTATCTTAAAAAATTAATATAATTTTTTAATAATTCAAGAAGTTGTAACTTTGATCTTTTTACTTCATTTGCTTGTTATCTATGCTTGTTTGAAGATACAGATGTTAAATAGGTGTATCAAATTGTGTAAATATCTGAGTGACAAGCAACCAATTGTTGAATCTCTAAAATATTGATAATAATGATGTATGATCAAAGATTTGGGGTCTTAAAAAAACACACACACAAAATCAATTTTGAGCAATTAAATATGGATAAAGAATCAAGATTTATTAAACTTTTTTGGTGCAAAGAGCCATTTGGATTTTCTTTTCATATAGTACCAAGTACTAGTTGGATACCTATTCTACAATGACCTAATATTTTCACATATTAACCTATTTTCTAATTTTAAACATTGCAATAAAAAGGTTTGTAATAATCCTCAAAAGTTGTGTGACATGATTGACTCAATGATTTATTCCACAATGATTACCCCACCTTTTTTTTAACAACAAAATCGTCTCAATCACAAACCCATTTTCGATGCAATGAAATATTTTAAGACAGATATGGTAGATTCCAAGCCCAGGTTCTGCACTGCGAAAAAAAGTTCAAATTGTAGAGGTTAATGTCTCATCAATATGAGAGACTTGGAGAGATTGTTTCCCATTACTTTTGTGACTTCCACTGCCAAGGTTCCTGAGCCTACAAATATTCAATATAGCATCTTCACAGCAGAAATAATTGACCACTGAATTGGGAACTGAACAATCTAAAAATAGAACACGTAGAATTGTGCAGTAAGTTATACAATAAGATTCAATTGTAATTATATGACAGTTGTTAAGAAGCAATAACGACATGAAGAAGACATGCCAGGCGAAGATGAATGCAACTGGGGATGGGGTTGAGTTACTATATTCACCGACATGAGTTGTGATGGTTTCGGGCAGCCAGTCGACATCGATGCCGCGTCACCCATTTCTTTGTTTTATTATTGAAAAAACTCGAGATTTTCCTCGAAGAATGATACAAGTCTTCTGATCGAAGCCTTGTCGGTGCTGTCTATACATGACATTTCTGATGCTTATCGATATGTTTCAAATCCGGATTCTAGTTCGAGGTCTACTACGAGATCTACTACGACGAATGAGCTGTCTGCAAAACTATGAGCAGAGCCTCCGGCGGTGTCGGCTGCAGCGAGGACATTCAAAGCCCAGTTTTTCAAAACTAGTTGCACTGGTGTCTAACTTGAGCGATGAGCTGACGCCTAGGACTCTTCGAGATCACTTGGCCAGACGTGAAAAACGTCTGTCCACGATGACGAGGCAGTTGTGCCACAATTTCGGTGTTTACAGTGTCAGTATGTATCAAGCAGATTGGAGTTCCGACTGCTCGAGGCTACCTATTCTCTACAAAGCTCTCTACGCTCAACTGTTCTGGAAAGGAAAAAATGACCACTAGGGGCGGTCGCTCCAGCTAGATACATTAAACGCAAATTCTACTCAGTTTTTTTCTTCTTTGTTTTTTGTTTTTTGTTTTCCTTCATAGCTTACAACTAAGCCTGTCGACGGGAAACGTGATTCTTTCAACTGCAAGGACTGGTAACAAAATTTCGGTTCATCTCGTGTAACTTAGAAAATTAAGGATCTCCAGTTCGGTAGAGACTGGATTCAGCTATCAATTTTTGATTTGTTTGCTAACGACGCCCAGCGTGTTACGTACATGACGATTCGGACAGAGGGATTGGCGCAGTTTCTTCTCCCACGAGTAAGGTTGCTCGCAATGCCAGTCGACTTCATTTTTACGACGAGGGGCTCTTTCGTGTGCCGCAGCTACTCCCAGTACTGCCTAGCAGCGGTTGGGATCAGCGCCTCGCTCTGCCGGTGGAAGCTGCGGGGCTATTCGGTCGGGGATGATGGGATTGAGTCAGTCTTCCTCTCCGACGTGCCCAGCCACTTCGACCTCATGTAGTCGAGTGTGCGCCACGGAGGTAGGTGCATGTCGCTCTGTTGCAAGGAGGCTTTTGCAGCCTCCGACATGAACTCCAGGATCTGCTTTAGCTTGGTCGGTGAACCGACAAAGACTGCAGGGAGGATCTTCAAAGCTGCCTCATATTGCTGGGTGGGCCTTGCGATCTCGAACTGGGCTTGGAAGTCCACGTCCACGATCAGTCGTTCCGTCTGTTGCTCATCATTCACGATAACGTCGATGTATTCATACTCACCTGCAGGAATTCGCAACCGTCAGCATGCAAGTGCATTGACACCATATCACCTCTTGCCAAGAAAATCGGCAAAAAGAGATATTAGAAAGACCTTAGAGATTCGAGATTACGAGGAAGCTGCATCAATCACACAAGTAGCACACAACCTCCGAAAAATCCGGTTATCGGAATACACCTACAAGAAACTAGAACCCATGTGGGATTTGAATGTGAAATGATACCTCCAGGGATTCGGCCGGAGCAGTGCCACTTGGACTTACATTCAGCGGCATCGTAACCGGCAACCCTTAGATGCTTGACCACAAAGCGGTTCACACAACTTCCTTTGCAATCAGAGACCCCAGGCTCACAAATGGCGTCCATGACGTCGTTGACAAGGATCAGGAGCAGCTCCACCTCGGTTGTCAATTCTCTTTCCAACGCACTAGGCGCTATGCGCATCTGCAAACCCCATTTTCTGGTAATGAGTATGATTTCTCATCTCAAGTTGCATAGTTGAAGCTAGTGTACTGTTTACGAAACGGACAGGACATGTGTGAATACTGACGTGACCAGTTCCATGTCGTGCAAAATCCAAGCCTCCTAAATTGAGAAACTTTCCTGGTAATAAAGGATTCAAAGAACAGCGATACGACCCTTCCCTGTCGTTGCGATAGCAATCCATCGGGATTGAACTGACGCAATACTTGAGGGCAGCACTTGACAGAGTGAACTCACCAGTAAGTTTTCCACAAGTTTCTTGGCGGATGAAGAGTCATCGCTGTCCACTCCATTCATGTACTCCGAAGGGTCATTCTCAATAAAATCATGCACCATGGCCAGCAAGTTGTCACTTTCCATGCTGCCGTAGCAGACTGGCGCGGCAAGCGCGGTGCTCGCTGCCTTGGTGCCCAGATAATTGCACTTGTCCCTAGTCCCCTTCTGAGATTTCAGGGGCTGGCGCGGCACAACCTCCCGGGTCGCAATAGGTCGAGACACGATGAAACTCTCGCAGTGCCATGAATATTGATGGATAGAAGGGACAGGCGTGAGCATATCGGTGTGGTAGATTGAGTTCGTGTAGGAACTAATGCTTGGCTGTCTCCGAAGACCCGGCATCGTGCTCACCACGGGGTTCTCAATAGCGATCTTCCCCAACTCGGCGACGATTTCCAGATTCTCCAGCCACCGCAAGAAAGGAGATACCCCCGAGCTGATAGACGACGTCGTGAATCTTCAAGGATTTTTAAAACACCTGTCCACTGATGCTACGTCTCCAAGTATGCAGACGAAAGAAAGGTGTAGTAATTGCTGGTGCGTGTGTTGTACATGAGAACTGTAGAGCTCGGCGACGAAAACATTTGTCTTCTTCAAAGACAAACTCAAAACCCCAAAATCTATCCGCGTTTTGTTTTTGTTTTACGTATGCTTTTGTTGTTTTTGCATTGTTGTTTTTGTGCCTTCTTCCTCCGAAGTACCCAGTAAGAAGGTGACTAGGGAACAAAGGGAGGCAGAAGCAAGCAATGAAGCAAAAACTCTCGCGTTGATTCAGCCAGAAAGTGCACTGGTTGAAAAATGCTCTCCTTCACGTGAACAACCTCAATCACCACCCAGATCTCCCCTCCCTTACCACCACTGCCAACTATCAAAACCTTCAATATACCACCCAATCGACCACACTGCAACTTACATGAGATCAAAAACCTCAACTCCTTTTCTGTTCTCGCTGGAGGCCTCTTCGACCATCCAACCACTTTCTAACACGAAGTCTTTCGAAAAAACCTTGCTCATCAAGAAAACACTTCAGAATTACAATACTAGGTATGCAAATCGAGGGCCCAATTCGACAAGTAGAAAGACGGAGACAACAAACAGCTAGCAACCTCAGACACTACTCTCTACCGGAGACAGCTATCGTACAACTAAGAACAATAAATCCCAACGAGACAATCACATGTGGTGCATCTCCTAGTGGCGATCTTCTCAGAAATCATTGACCACCTCAAGCGATGACCCAATCGCAAGGGGAACCGCCAGCCAGTTGCCACTGAACTATATGTGGCGTCAGGTCGGCGTCAGTTAGGAGCAATCTTTGAATGTAAGTTTGAAAGGAAGAACGCATTTGAGATTGCAGGCGGGGAGCGTTCGAGGTGCTGGCTTTTGTATCCTTGCCGAGAGCCATGGGGCATTTTACCTGGAAGCTGTGGCGTGCTAAGTAAGGCATCAGGTAAGTTACTCAAAGGGTTACCGGATTTGGAATGCGCCTGGAGAAACACGCAATCTCTGGTCGCGGACGCCTTGATCATTTGTTTATTTACTGCCTGCGGAGACTTTACGTCTTGCTTCGTCGCTACTTGGATGTGTCATCCATTTCTGTTTCGACAGGCTCCGCATCTGACATCACGGGGAAGCAAGTTTCTGCAACTGCAATACTGCGGCAGAGCAGTTGGGTTCAATTCGAGTCTTGTTTACTGTCGCAATGGGATGTCCGTGGAGAGATTCTCTTGGCGTCAACCACAAGTTTACTTGAGTCTATGTGACGCTCGTCGAGTAAGTGTATGATCCTTTCGTGTTACTCTCTCGTTACGATACAGGGTTAGAAAACTGGGCACGAGTTCGTTTTGGAGCACGATTGCGAACGCGTCGTTGTGAAGCTTCGTGTGAATTGATTGCGGAGTAGAGCAATCGATTGAGATTCCGGTATCTCCTCTTATTTTAAGATATATCTTCTGGATATGGTAGACCTAAACCCGAAGTGAACTATTAAGGTTGTCCCCCTGCATTCTTCGGTATCAGTGTATCAAACCATCGCACCATTCTCAAGGTGATTACAATTTTACATTGACGTAGACGCATTTGCGTCTACGTCAATTGTGGGTGCAAGGGTTCCAAATTGCAGCCAAAGTTGAACTCAAGCATTAGATTAGGTAACATTCAAGGGAGTACCTAGAGGTTTGAGACTCGAGAGTTGCTGGATGGTGCAGGGAAGCTTAGAGTCAAGCCTTGAAGACTTCCATGACTGACGGCACATCCTTAACAGCTTATGGTTACTGCAGATTGCGGCGACTGAATCGACGAAGGCAGTTTCCACCGAAGACTAGAGCTATTGTTTCCACGTGATGCGAGACGGCTTGATTCATCGCATCTGGAGTAGTAACAAGCTCCATCAACCTGATGCTCTCATTCCCGTTCTCCAAGCTCATGAGGTCATTGAAGTTGTTAGCCCTCGATTCTAAGAAACACCCCAACAAGTTTCTCTGAGCAATTGGTCCCATCAAGCGGGTTCTGTTGCAAATCCGTTATTGGTCGTAATCATAACTCGATGTTTCTGTCCGTCTACATTTTGGCAGACGTTACTCACACCCAATGTTTTGTGACGTCATTCTATCATTGATAGGTCTCGTGTTGGGGTAGTAAAAGTGCACTTATGGCTGCTGTAGGTGTGTCCTGCACATTTTCTTCGTCAACAACTTCGTCGTAAGTTATTTTCCCCATTTTCAATTGAAGTTAAGATCGTGTTGTATCGAGGCAACTAAAATCGTCGGAGCTTTGGGAATGTTGCGTGTCCAGAGGGCATGAAGGGTCACTTGCTGCCTTGAGTGAGAAAGATCTGGGAGCCCGGCAGGATATAACCTCTGTGCGGGGATGATTGGCCATTTTATATATATTCCTCGTTCACCATATGTCGGCAGGAAGGCAATGCTTCAGAAACATCCTGCGCAAGTAGATCGTGCTACTTCGTATGTCAGTACATTACACAACAGATTGTCAAACGAGATGTCAAGCGAGCTTGTGGTCGGAAACAAAATACACAACGAGAGTGCTTGTGACTACCATGCGCGTCTAGATTGAAAGACGATCCCATTACAGATTAGAGAATGTAATGGTGTGAAGAATTTTGTTCTTGAAAAATGTTAACATCATTTATTGGAGAAGGCGATAGAGAGCAAGGTGATAGGTTTCTATGTGAATTCAACCAAGTATGTGATACGCACCCATCGTTTGAGGTGTGAATGTTCACTAGGAAGAGCCTTAAATCTTTTTAGCTCACAAATCGGCTGAAAAGATGTGGGAGTCATCAATTCTGATATATTGCAGCTCTTCCTCTTCTATTCAAACTCCAATCTTTATCTGATGCTGCTGCTGCTGTTAGTTCTATCTCGGTTGCGTTTCCCTTGGAATTAGCTTGCTGTGGGAATCATGTTGAGTGAGTTGTGATCTCTGCATCCTCTCTCGTAAGTCTTTTTAAAAAGGTGGCCAACCGCTTCTCATGGTGCGGGGTCTTCGGATGAAGCAGCGAAGACAAGTCACTGAAACCCCCAGATTCACATCCATTCATAAGGTTTGGCTCGCAACTTGAGCATAGAAAATCTGCAGCAACTGTTTCGTCATGTGGGCATGTCCTGCCAGTTGTTGCTGGTAGGCACTCAGAATCAACCTTTGAGACTCTGAACTAACCTTACTAGTTTTGTGCTTTTTTCAAACCCAACTTGCTCAGATCATCTGATAATCTGGAGAGCATCTGGAAAAGATCATTTCCCCACTTTTTTGCGGTTGTCAACCTGGCTATTATCTTTCCTTTTTGTAAGGGGGAACAAGATCCAAGGTTCTTCAAACTAATGTACGATCTAATTCGATAATGTGTGTTTCAATGCATAGTTTTTAGTTATTTTAAACACCAGAAGACGAGGTTCGACATGTGGAGCTTCAAAGGATTCGAACAAGTGATACGTGTAGTAAAACAGTGCAACCATTATCTTTTTTACAAAATACTACCAAGAAGCACAAGTTGAAGGTGAAACATAAGCAGCACGTGCAGAATGTAATCTTTGACCATCTCTAAACTTTTTCACCAACTGGAACAAATAAAAATTTAATCTCATTCTTATATTTATTAGAAAACGTATAACAAATTACAAAAAACTTTTGTGTGGGATTTTGTATTATGGTGAAAGAGCCGCATTCCATTTTAATTGAAAATGGATGAAAAAATGTCAAGACAATCCACATGCTAACTAGTCCAAGAAATTGGCATATCCCGTTGACCATTCTCGAAGAACGCTTGAAACATTAAAGATAGTATAAGATATTTTATGAAGAATTCTGTCGTCTTGCCACTTTCCAGTCAACTTATGGGTAAAATTCTCTGTTGGTGCTATTTCTAAATACTAACTCCGGGAACACCACTAACTTACCTCCCTGGCTACTGCTTAGGTCAGGATTTCTCTAATATTTGCAGAGATGCCTGCAGAACATGCCATGGAATGTACAAGAATAACTATAATTAATAAAAAAGTAATCAACGAGTGATGGATTATCCACATGTGGAATCCTCAGCAAGAACAATGGAATGTTACTGGTCATTGATACTTGTGCCGAAGGTAGTATTTCTTGTACCTTGAAGACATTAGAATATTTTTGTTTGTGAAACAGAGAAGGCTTGTAATTGAGTAAATCTGCAGTGTAAGGTGTCCACTCTCAGCAGGTTTGATTGGCATGAAAGGGCAACAGAGCAAGATCATTCCTTCACTGTAATCGTGATTGTTAGAATCAAGAATCAAAACAAATCACTATTCTAAGAATCATCTTGTGGGGTGGAAACGAATCGATTGCAGAATTACCAACGAGCACAATACTTTAAAAAAGTCCCTGTTGCTGAAGAAGACCTGAAGTAACAAGACCTAGAGAGAACGGTGGTCTCCACTTGTTGGATCTGCAGATACGGACCAGGTGAAAAGGTAATACCTTGGCCTCTTGTCCCATTATACCCAAAATAATTTGGATAAAATTTGCCTTCAGTTCCATCATAGCCTCAATAAGAGCTATATTTAACAAATTACCAGTGAGCTGCTCCATAGCAACACATCTTTTACCTTTCCGCTTGTCGACCAAACCTATCAAACAAGCTATCATAAACCACATCGTCGTATTTCTAGAGTCACGAGGGAACAGTAGAAGCTATTGAAAGTGTCTTTGTGTGTCGAATATGCTCAAACATTCACGGCGTATTTAGTAGCCAGAATATCTGGAGTTTTGTTTGTGTAGTGTCAGTTTGGATTTGGTTATCTGCACTATGATGTATCTTCAACGCGGTACCACTTGTAAAATTCCAGTCTACAAGCCTTTGTGCATGCAGGAAAAACATAAAAACTTCAGATGTAGCAATGCTAAAACAAATGATGGTCATTAGTTGCTCACATTGTAGAAGTACTTGCACACGGTCGGTTACTTGAAAGAAAGGAGAGGATTGCGCAACTTCCATCTTGGCCATAAAGGATGTCAGCCTACAATCAGTCTCTACATATATATATATATATATATATATATATATATATACATACATGTGTGTGTGTATATGTATTCACATTCACATACATTTATCTTTGAAGGCTTTGAATTCAACCTCCTACAGCGTGGTAGAGCCCATCAGAACTGTTTCATCCACAAACCGGAAGATCTGAAAGCTCTGTAAGATGTGAAATGATAACCTAATGACAAATATTATAAGAGGGACAGAAAGACTGTGGGTAAAGGATGGGTGCTGTACTCTGTTGCAACATGAAAAGCGAGGGCTTTGCAACCACAGGCTTGTCCTTCATTGTCTTTTATGGCACCGACCACGAATACAGCTCCTGTACCAACCAAAAGTCTTCACAGTAATTGCTTTTTCCACATTGTTAACATATAAACCAATACAAATATCAAAAGTGTAAACGTACGAATCAATGCACAAATTAGCAGGTCCGTCAAGTGATTCAAACAGATTACAACCCTTCAGAAATTCAATTTGAAAAACCAACATTGAAAGTAAGTTTCCCCATTGTCGTCATTCGGGAAAAAACGGGATCATAGCTGGTGTTGATGAATTTGCACCCAGGATATCCACAAAGATACAGAACCGGATACCTGACAGACATGACGAACTAAGTTCAGCAATGCCATCTAAACCAGCATCGTTCTAATATACACACTCATTATCAGCGTGCAGAAAAAGTAAACAATACAACAAATCGCTGTTCTTGACGGCCACATGTAAACAAAGCATAATTTGCAAACTTACTGAAGCCCGTAGTAATTGTCATATTAATCGAATTCCACCATTACAGCTGCCACCCTCGCAAGTGATGTTTCAGAAAGACTTGTTCAGTAAGAATTAGATTGAAGAAACCAACTAGTAAAAAGGAAGATGGCGTTTCAGAGTACAAGATTGGCAATTAGACGGATGCTTCATTTCAGTTCTATGGGAAACATACATCAAGGTCGTTCCCCGTAATCTGACCAAGTGATAGAGCGACTGTTTTCGTTGTATCTTCCTGTGAAGGTCCACAGATGTAAATTGCAACTTTATAGCCAACCCACAGTCTTACACACCTGCATTTATCCACACAGTGAAATGAAGCCAATAAAATAGCCCTAAAGTGTGCAGAACATGTTTAACATACCAGATCAATCATCAAATCCGAACAATGTTGAAGAAAAGCATGTGGGCCTACAACGCAATTGATACCAGCTTATTTGAGCTCCAACTAAATGCCAATTTCACATGTTCAAAAACCGTTGCCACGTTCAAAAGTTTGCAAAGATATTTACTAAGAGAACTCAGAACAAGATGCAAAGAGGTACATAATGCAGCTTCAGATCAGCAGTTCATGGAGGGTGACTACGAAAAGAAGAGGAATGTAAATGAGGACGATAACTGACAACTTACATAAGAGTTGAGGGCCACTTGTGTGAACTACCTTATTGCAGTAAAATTCCAGACAGCTCACTCACTTGCTTTGAAATAAAAAATAAACAACCGCAGACTATAACAATATGGCTCACGCATCCCATCTTTTAGCTACTTTTTTCTATTTCCAGTGCTCTAGCATCAGGACATTATGATATTTGGCGGAAAAGATCTGGCAACATTAATATCAATGTAAAACTATTTAATCAGCCTAGGTCATGACTTTTGTTTGAAGAAAGCTTGATCGACACATATTATACGGCAGCGGCAAACGAAGTACAGATCTCCTGCAGAAAGAAGAGTGGCATGTACGGCTGCAGGACTATGAACAGCATCATCTTATTTTGATACTTCAGAAATGCGTGACACATGTAAGTTAAACCGCTAAATCATTAAACTCTAATGTCTAGAAATTTCCCTGTTATGCCTCCTTGACATGGGTGGAATTCGTCAGAAATACTTGGCGCTTACCCTGCACCACTAGCCGTACGAGTCAATGTGAACTTCTTCAGCTACATACACCATCATTATATGTCCTTCTACAAGTCCAAAGAGTCGTAGATTGTGTTTGACTTTGGTAATGCTTTTAACAAATAACGACAAAATTCCAAGTAAAGTACCGACCTCCGATCGAAACGAAACGAGCTTCTCAAGGACCCCTTCGATCAGCTTGTCTTCCTTCCATGTAACCATCCACGTAACAGCTGCACTACATTTTCTGAGAGCTTGACGGAGCTGTTTTGCGAGTTGCCATGTCGCAAGGATAAATGTCAACTGGACGATTATATCTAACCAGCTCAATAAGGAAGTCAAATCATCAATTAACCAATGTTCCTTTAATGAGGCAATTTATATCCTTAAATAGCCTCCCTTAAAAACCAGCAGATGATTAAAGGAAAAACAACAACACACCATCTACCAACATATGATAGTTAAGACAATCATTGTAAGGATCACATCAGCAAAAAAACGCACAGAATTGTTGACACTCACAATACTAACGTCTACATCGAACATGTGCTAAGTTAAATAGAGAGAAATATTCACAATTCTCTACAAACAAAGCTTCGTGCACTTCCCTGTGCAAATTTAAGCAAAAACATCACATGCTCCTGAGTGAAGCTACTCTCAACAAACCTACTGAATCGAGATGACAATCCCTGATTAACAATGCTGAGCACCAAAGGACAATCAAAAAATAACTTAGCTTCTGAAGCGTACAGAAGACAAGCAAACGAGCGCGGCGTAGGAGAAATCAGAGCAGAGTGGAGTTGCGCAAAATTCCACAGAATGACCAGGGCAGCAAATCACGGGTTCCTTCAAAGAAAAACAAACACAACTACCGCCAAAATCTTCAATTCCATGAGCAGTAGAGCACATCATTTCCAAGTATAATCAAAGTTATCAAAATTAAACCACTTCAACATCGCTTGAATGTAAGTAAGGCAATTTTTATCATATCCATTCTCTGGATCTCTGCCAAGCTACACACAATTCTCAATCTATTTTAGCACACAAACATAGCAACATGAGATGATCTGTACTTACTCGGTCCCCAACCTTCCTCTGTCGATATTCAGATTTCGTATTTCACAGAGTTAGAACCGCATGATGCGCAAGAAGACAACCTTACAATTGGACTGCACTATCCACATATACACAAGTTCAGAACATGTCTCCGGTGTATTGTACCAATTTGAAGAGAGTACACTGCACAAGCAACGGACTTTCATTGTAAGAACCAGAGAACGGTCCCGCATAATCTACTAACTGTGAGAGTCACGCTACATACCAAGAGATACTTCCATCCGTCGCAACTGTAAGAAACTATCATCGCTGCAGTTTGATTTCGAATTGGCCAGTAGAGTACACTCATCCAGAGAGAAAACCTAGTGAATAATGTGGCCGAGTTCAAAATGTTGCCAACACATCCAACAAATGCCTCAGATTACTTCTAAATGCAAAGTCATACACAACCTTTAATACATTCTCAAACGAGAGAAAAAGATGCAGTTCTCCCTCAAATGCCAGGAACATGTAACGCTTGCCAACACCAAGACGAAACTTTCAAACCATCACGAAGCCGAAATAGTGACCAAATCGGAAAAAAATCCTTTTATTCATTATTACACACACTGTAAGGGACGTTTAACAACATAGTAGGACGACCTACTGACCACCTCGGAGGCGGAGCACCAAGTGCAAGGTCGACTCCTTCTGGATGTTGTAATCGGCCAGGGTGCGACCATCCTCCAATTGTTTCCCTGCGAAGATCAACCTCTGCTGGTCCGGAGGAATCCCCTCCTTGTCCTGAATCTTCGTCTTCACGTTATCAATCGTGTCAGAGCTCTCCACCTCCAGGGTGATGGTCTTCCCTGTCAACGTCTTCACAAAAATTTGCATGCCTCCCCTCAACCTAAGAACCAAGTGCAAGGTCGACTCCTTCTGGATGTTGTAATCAGCCAAAGTGCGGCCGTCCTCCAATTGCTTCCCTGCGAAGATCAACCTCTGCTGGTCCGGAGGAATCCCCTCCTTGTCCTGAATCTTCGTCTTCACGTTATCAATCGTGTCAGAGCTCTCCACCTCCAGGGTGATGGTCTTCCCTGTCAACGTCTTCACAAAAATTTGCATGCCTCCCCTCAACCTAAGAACCAAGTGCAAGGTCGACTCCTTCTGGATGTTGTAATCAGCCAAAGTGCGGCCGTCCTCCAATTGCTTCCCTGCGAAGATCAACCTCTGCTGGTCCGGAGGAATCCCCTCCTTGTCCTGAATCTTCGTCTTCACGTTATCAATCGTGTCAGAGCTCTCCACCTCCAGGGTGATGGTCTTCCCTGTCAACGTCTTCACAAAAATTTGCATGCCTCCCCTCAACCTAAGAACCAAGTGCAAGGTCGACTCCTTCTGGATGTTGTAATCAGCCAAAGTGCGGCCGTCCTCCAATTGCTTCCCTGCGAAGATCAACCTCTGCTGGTCCGGAGGAATCCCCTCCTTGTCCTGAATCTTCGTCTTCACGTTATCAATCGTGTCAGAGCTCTCCACCTCCAGGGTGATGGTCTTCCCTGTCAACGTCTTCACAAATATCTGCATCTTGAACTAGAAGGCGAACTACTGCGTCTAATGCTGAAACCCCACAGTGTACTCACTTTAGAACTGAACCTCACACCTCCGGATGTTCAAAGTCCTATTTCTCGAAGAATGGATCCCGGAATGAATCAGCCAAGTTTGGGCTCGCAGATATATACACTCAAGTCGAAAGACGTTTGCTGTTCGCGAAGAAACCGAGAAAGAAGTTTCAACGAATGTCGTTGAATGAAAGGTTGGTTTTAGTCATCGAAGATGACACCGCAAGAAGGGATAATAGATGATGTTCTGAGGATGGAAGATGCTGAGTTGGAAGAGTCCAGAGGTTTCCTCGAAATACGTGTGTCTAAAGCAACATGGGAAGGAACCGCTTGTTGGAGGGAGCCTCTGAAGGACCTCATTGAGGACAGTTCCATGAAATCAAACTCAGCTCGTGTCCTTGTTGAGAAATTGTTTTAAAAAGATTACGGAACGTGGCATACCAGTGTTGGCCTGTGCCGTGTCGTTTGAGGGCCCCTTACATCATGACATTGCAAGGCACCTTCACCGAGAATCCTCCGTCGAATCCAATGTGCTGGTGGCGATGTGGTGATCTCCTCGCCACGCAAGCCCCCTCTGGCGCGGAGTGTCGGTGGACGTGTACGCAGTTTGCTTGTGGGATGAGATTACCTTCCGAGCATGGATTCACTCCCGGCTTTCATGTGGTGGTGCTCGTTGTGGAGCACTGCCGCCTTCAATTTCAAGTCATGTTGCGGACAGTGTCGGTGGTGAAGCTTTGTTTGAATGTGTTAAGATATTAGTTTTTCCTCTACTTACAGCTTGTACCAATCTGGACTGATATTCTGCACATAATGACAAAAAATTTGTTTTCAATAGTTTTAACTTAAGATTTGACGATTGGACTTGCTTGTGAGTTCTTTTAATTCTATTGATATGGTGTATATTGTGGTCAACTTTATTGTTTACTATAATACAAGTCACGGTAAATCAATTTGTTCATTTCTGCCACCGAGAGAATGAAACCAGTTTTTATATTAATATCAATAAAAAGAACACTGCAATGTTTTTTTAATTACTTCAAAGAGTAAGTGTGTTTTATTTTTTAGAATGCATCCACTAAATAACTAACTAGTATAAATAAAAATAATAAGTAGTTAAACAGATTCTTTGTGTTATAACAAATAATTTAGTAGTTACAAATTGTAAAGTTATGTGCATCTATATATATATATATATATATATATATGTGTTAGATTATTATTTAGAATTTTGGATACAAATAAAAATCTATTTTTTATTTTATTTATTTTATAAGCATAAAATAAAATAATTTAAAATTGAGAAATTGTTAAACTCTTATGTAAGCTTTACATTTCTTATATATTACATCATATTATATTTTTTTATAATAAATTATATAATGGATTTAAATTTATTTTTTATTAATATATACTTTATAATTTAGAAAATTAAGAATTAATGTGAAGTAAAACATTTTTTCATTTATCACTCAATTTATTCATAGGTTATAACATAATGTAACAAAATTCTTATTCAACTTGTCTAATTCTCAATCTTTGAATCAAGATATTGTCCTAAGAAGCAATAAAGTTACAATACAAAAAATAAAATTGTAAAAGAAGACAAGATATTAAACAATGAGTTTGTCCAACAACATTAGGAAACATATGGCAAGGTTCCTACATCACATTATTTAATGAAGATCTAATATGTTTTTCAAACCTATTACTTGTATTTTTAATAAAAATCGATTTAAGATCTATAAATCCTAACATTCTTATATTAGCCTTGTTAGATTATAGTACCTTTGTTTGTTTTCTTTATGATTTTAGTTTTAGTTATTATAAAATATTATTAATATAAAAAATCAAACATATACAGTGACAAACAAAACCGAGTACAAAATCTGAACACTCATAGTTCATTGATCCTTCCAACTAACACATAAGTCAATTGATAGAATTATTTTTTTATTGTGTGTATTCATCTAGTCATCTACATGGATGAAAAATCTCATTATCATTTGAGGTAGGGTTTATGAGAAAAGTGTTGTAGAAGCACACAGACGTGCGTACTCAGTTTTGGTTGCTTCTTCTTGCTGAATTTCGAAATTTCAATGTACACTCCTTGTTGCAAGATTTGAGGGCATTTTTTGTTTGTTGTGTTGCTCTTGTTGTGTACTATCTATAGTGAAAGTTGATTTGTCAATTGTATCTCTATGCCTCGGTTGTGTGAATCATTGAAGCACCAAGCATTGGTGCAGCTTAGGAGTGGTGTTTCTACAAGAAAAGTTGCACTCACTTAGAATGAGTCAGTCTTCAGTAGCTCATCTGAGGAGGGAGATTAGTGGTGAAATAGAAAAGCAAAGAGGAGGACGTCCAAAGGTTTTAGGAGAGCAAGAGAAGCGACTTGGTGTGCACCTTGTCACTGCTGGTTGTCTCAAAACGGCAAGTGCAGCTGCAAAACAACTTCGAGAAAAAATAGGTAAACACTTCTCAGACATCACCTTGAGGCGTGGTTTGAGAGAAGCTGGTTTGGAAGCTTGTATGCAACAAAAGAAGCCTCTACTTGCCAAAAGACATGTTCTTGCAAGGTTGAGTTTTGCTCATAAATACAAAAATTGGACCGTTGATGATTGGAGATGGGTTATTTTCAGTGATGAGACAAAGATTAACCTAATCAACTTAGATGGTAGGTCTCGGTATTAGTTGAGAGAAGGAGAACGACCTGGACCTAAACATGTTAGTCAAACTATCAAACATGGTGGTGGTTCAATTATGTTTTGGGGTTGTATGACTGCTTTTGGGCTGGGTGCTTGGTATCAAATTGAAGGTAGAATGGAGCAACACTTGTACAAAAAAATTTTAGAAACCTACTTGCAAAGTACCACACAAAATTACAACTTAGATCCTACTAAGGTGGTTTTTCAACATAATAATGATCCCAAACATGCGGCAAAAAGTATTCAGTTTCGGCTCTCTTCACAGCCATTTCAGCTCCTTTGATGGCCAGCTCAATCTCCAGATTTGAATCCAATGGAACATTTTTGGACCCTTCTCAAACAACGTTTAAGCCAAGTCACTCCAAGGCCAAGAGGTGTTCAAGAATTGTGGGAGAATGTTTGTAGTATTTATCCTAGTTTTGATACAAAAGATTGTGAGAAACTATACAAAAGTATGCCAAGAAGGATTTCAGCTGTTTTGGAAGCAAAAGGTTATTGGAGTAAATATTGAAGTTTGAAGATTTTCTTTGAACAATACTGAGTACAAGACATAGTTATTGATTTGACTTTGTAGAAGGATGTTTAGTTATCAATTTGATGTGCAACTTTGTACATGTGTAGAAGACTGTGTGTATTATTCCATGTAACTTTCAGATTTATAAAGCAATCATTGAAATTTCTGTAATTGCTCTTGAAAGTTGGCACTTCAGATTTTGTACTCGGTTTTGTTTGTCACTGTACATATAAGAGTCATAGATGAACAACCTTTTTTCTTCAAGAATTGGCCTCTATAAAATCTCAATAGCAAAAAAAATTGTAAAAGGTCATAAAAATCAAGTAGTATTTTTTATATTAAAAAAATTCTAATTTATCTTATTTTAGACTTATTTTTAGAATTATCTTGGTTAAAAAATATAATTCTTATATAGATTAAGTATCTTAAAGTATTAAATTTTTTTATCTTATATAAGAAAAAAATCAAGAAAAAAATATATATATATATATCTATATATATATATATCTATATATATATATATATATATATATATATATTATCACTTAGATAATAAAAAAATTATTTAAAGAAGCTAGGACATTTATACAAGTTGTAGAAGAAAAAAATTTATTTAACATTTATACAATACTTATTACAGCCATCCAATGAGAAGATTTAGAAATATTCTTTGAATATTTTATTAAATTATAGAAATTTTCAAAGAATATATAAAGATTTTTAGAGGATTCTAAAAGGTTTTTAGAATATTTCAATAGGTTTTTGAAAGTTCTAGAAGGATTAAAAAAGTTGTTTTAAAAGCTTTCCAAGATTGCTTCATCTTCAAGCAATGTGGAAATTGCTTAAAAAGCTTTCTAAGATTGCTTTAACTTCAAGCAACATGGAAACTTCTTAAGAAGCTTCTTAAGGTTCCTTCAACTTTAAGCAATATAGAAACTTATTAAGAAGCTTATTAATACCTTGTATATATTGGACTCAAGGTCGAGCAAATCTTTAGTCTTGATAACACATCTTTTAGAATTCTAGCTGACTTCTTTAAGTGTTGATCTTATTTTCATTTGATTTAATCAAGTTCTTCTTAACTTTCTTATTAAAATTCTTCCACTCAACTTCTTGTTTTGTCTCATGTATAATATATTCATAACAGTTTGTTGAGACTATTCTTTTATCAATACTAGAATTTGATCTTTTTTAAAAGAGAATAGATTACCTCTCTTCTTTAAGGCATCTAAATACTTTAGAGGTTGTAGAGTATCTTCTTTTAAATTTATATTTTTTAGATTTTATTTTTTTTTATTTTTATTTTTTTCCAAAAGGCTAGAGGTGAAGATATTAGCATAATTGAGTCTCTCAAGTCTAAGTTAGATGTTATTATGAATACATTGAATACTTTGGCTTACAAAACTACTAAAATTGAGAATTTTTTTGTAAGTTTTCATGGTGATACTTGACTTGGAACAAATCAACTTGTGATGCAACCACTTTTTCAAGCTTTTATATTCAAGGAAGTGGCAGTACTTATATTTTAATAAGAAAATTCACCTATTCAATTACCTAAGGAGCCTTAAATTAGTCTTCCAAAAAAGTTTGATAGTATACACGCAAAATTCTAAGGATTTATCAACCAAATTTAATTGATAATTTTTCTATAATCTGAGCACTATCCAACGAAAGAGTCGTAAGTTGGTTTAGTTGGAATCTTAATCACAAGACATGCATGTCTTAATTTGCTCCTTTATTTAAGAAGAAATCTTTAATCTTGAATAGCTTTGAAGCTTTCTTAAAAGCATTTATAAAAGCTTTTGGAAAACATGACAAGGTCCAATTGATAACAACAAAGATTCATTGATTATGTTAAGAATCACTGTTACAAGGTATAGAT